CCCACGGAAATCTGGCAGAATGGGAACCCTTTTAAATACAGAGATTTCTCACACGCTTCCTTACGGACCTTACGTATCTTCAATGTATTATCATAACCAATCTTCATTTAATCAGACGAAATTTGCCTGTGCTATATCATCTATCACCTACATTTATGTTTTGTGTGATCATAAGGGACCACGTTAATTCATGGAGCGGGCCAGAGTGTCGTAATCATTGTATCATGGAAGTTTATTGTGGAAGTTTGACTTCCCATTTAAAAGTGTTTTACTGAAGCTCACTGGAACGTTTATCTTTTGTTCTCTCATCTCTACCATAGTAAAGTTGTGAAATTAGCCCTTAGTAAGGAGGTTTTGGTGTGTTTTTTCCCGTGGTAAAAAATCTAATTATCCTAAATGTTGATTTTTTCAATTTCACTTTTAAACTTAAATTGTCTGTCCAATCGGATCATGTAACTGTAAAAGACCCCATTTCAATTTATATTAGACTTAGCTTCTAATTTGTTAACTTAAGTATCTATTTTTTAATTTATACGAGATTGAGTAATTTTTTAAATATCCATAATTTTCTTTAAATTATCTTAGATTCAATAAGTTATTCTGCCGATATCCTGTTAATTATTTTTATCAATATCTGATGGAGTATATTTCTTCGTGGAAATAATTTCATAACTTCTTAGCCTTATATATTTTTTTCAAGACTTCTCTTTCAACAGGATTTAGGGATTTAGTAGGTAAACAATTCCGTTTATAGTTGGCCTGGTATTTTATTCCGGAATCTACTTTTCTACAACATCGTTCGGAAACTGGATCAGCTGAACTCAAGTCACTACGACCAACCACACTCACATTCACATAAAAGACACCCTCCTAAATCGAATGCATTGCAAGAACATGAAATCCACGGTTTTTCCAACGAGTAGGCAATCAGAATAGCTAATCTAACAAACCAAATGACATTGGTAGATGTAAGTAGGTACACCAGCTATTCGAGCATTGAGATGCGCAGAGGAGGGGCCAATGAGGTTAATTTATCTCCAGAATCAACGCATCATTTAGGCTAGAAAGTTACGGAAAATGCCATTATTTTTGTGAAAGAAGAGGTGGTTTCACTGTGTATGATAAAATTACTCGATGTGCCAATCTAGTAGAAAATCGCCGTTTGGATTAGGTTATGCACCTGCCACTTTTCAAAGACTAATAGAGTTAGTTTCGTGGGGATTCGCTTGGGAGTTTGGTATACTTGGATAATGTCATTAAGAATGACGAAGATTTCGACGAACATATGAAAAAAGATTTCACCAGTATTGGAAGTGCCAATCTAAATCCAAATTTATCCTATTCCAGGAAAAAATGAACTTTCTTGGACATGTCGTAACTTCAAATAGAATAGAGACGGACCCAGGAAAATTTTGGGAGGTGCGAAATTGGCCTATTTCAAAGAAGAAGCATGAAGTTGTGTATTGAACATCACCACTATAAACGAGACGGTTGAAGAGTTGTGGTTGAAGATCAACATTGAGAATGTGCTGTTGGCATAATCTATAGGCCTCTATCTGTATACCCTATAGAGCATTTGAATGTCTATATGGCTCTTTCTTGTGATATCAATTTTAAACTGTCGTTTTTTAATATTGTTGTCATAGAGTTGTTTGATAAGCATGCCCCAAAACCAGAATATTTAACAAATCAAGAATCTCTTGGATTACATACACGGTGACAATTTGAAAAGTAGCAACCGGAAATATCTCTTAGACAAAAAATACTATCAGGAAAATCTCAAATACGTATCGGGGGATTGGAGGGGGAATCAAAATGAGGCACTTTTTGAGTCACCCCGCCTCACCTCTTAGGAAGTAGCTACCCCAACTTATTTTTTTCAAATACGAACCTACCTTGTATTGTCGTTCGATAGTTCGTTGCTATCTCTTCACAAACCTAGATAAAATGAAACCGTGGACAGTGGCGTATTTACGATTTTCATCTGGGGGGGCCCAATATAACAATAAAAACAAATGATAATTATTTTCCTGACAAGTGCGCAAAGTGATACTTTCCCGCACGAAAAAGCAGTTAGACGAACGACGCGAAGCGGAGTTCAGATAAGCTTTAAGTGCGGGAAAGACACTTTGCGCAAGTCGTAGGAACAATACTTTTTCTACGGAGTATCTTAAAAAAAGTTCTGAATTTAGTATAGAGCACTGTTTTTGTTTTACATACACGGCTTTTAGAAAAAGGGCAATCAGTTACATACAAATTCGAACCCAAATTTAAAAATTCTTCACAGCATTTTTCAAAAAATATAAATGTGAAAAAAATTTGACATGGCTTTTACCAAAAACAACTAGTATTTCAATTTTGTCCATTATCGTAAAATAGCTATTTATACAATAAGTTACGAAATGAGCGTCTTTTAGGCACGCGACGTGAAAATTGTCCAACGAGGCAAAGCCGAGTTGGACAACACGTCGAGTGACTAAAAGACATCGTTTCGTAACGTATTGTATACAAGATTTTTTCTACTGTCATTTTATAATAAAAAAAAACAATTTTATTTCATGTAAATAAGTCGATTACACCCAAAATCTTTGTAACCTGCTTTTGCTTGACACCTGACACTTTTCATGCGATTTTTTTTTCAAGATTCGATATCAATAATTGAAATCCCAGAAAGTAGGTAACAACACAAAGTTCTGTTTTGAGTAACCCAAACGTTCAATTCAATAATAACATTTTAAATATTCATAATAAATACAAAACAAAATTCAAATCTGTGTTTAGTGTGTTTTTAATTCTGTATAATGAATGACACTTTTAGGCACTAGTGCTTAAAAATTACTTTTACGCACTCAAAAGTCACTTTTACGCATTCAAAAGTCACTTTTACGCACTGAGTGCTTAAAAGTAACTTTTACGCACGCAGTGCTTAAAAGAATGTCGTTTTAAAACTAAAATGACAATCGATAAGTTGCTATTATGAAACGTCAGTAGAAAAAATACTTTTCCTATTCCTAAGATGGGAAATTTAGTTTTTGAGGATCTTCAGTGGAGATTCCAAGGTAAACCATACTAAAAACTTGAAGCAATATAGGATATCCACCAAGCGCTAAATTCAACCCCTTCCGCTCCGAAAATGTCCTACAGAAGTGACGACATCAATGTGATGGATCGAATATATTGATCCGATTGATCCCCCTCTGTCTCTCTCTCACTCCTATTTCCTTTCTATCAACAGACATTTTAGTCTCTGTTTTATCTTGGAGTGCGTTCGAAATCACCCTGGCACCGCGAACCTGGTTATTGGTGTGAAAATTATTTCAATGAGGGTCCGACAAACTCCGTTGTGCAAATCCTCTAGGTTTTCGAACGGTGACCGAGTGGTTTGTGGTTTGTTAATGTGCTTATTCTGTTACTAAAAATTAAAAATAAATTTCTGGGGGGGGGCCCGGGTCCCCTGAGCCCCCCCGTAAATACGCCACTGACCGTGGATTATACTAAAAGGTGAGAATCCGCATTTTAAATTTTAAGGCCGTAGGTGGTAATGTCAATAGTGAGTCATATAAAATAAGTAGGACATACTATGAGGTACAAGGCTTATAGTCCAGGAGGCAGTGAAATTTTTTAGCACTTATTTTCCCAGTTGGTGTCTATTAAATAGTTTGTTCTCCTGGTGATAAAAAGCAAGAATTTTTGAGTCTGCGTAAAATTTTTGGATGGGTTCACAAGATCAATGAAAAATACAAGTACGCTTATTTTCCAGGACATAAATATTTCACATTTACTACAATAGAACATAAAGTATATGAAAATAGCAATTTGGTTTATCTCAGATAGTGAAAGTGAGTCTGGCTGAAAATTTTCGGATCTTCAATTTTTCACTTGCCAGACATATTATCCATACTCACAGATTAGCTGGACTATTTTTTTACGTAACTTCAGTATATTTCTCATCAGTAGACCTATTTTTATCACTGAGAAAAAAAAAGGCCGAGAATTCGTAAGCTTTAACGCATTTTGCGCCTCAACCCATCGGAAAACCCCCCTAAAAATATATGTATTTTGCTTAGAATTACTAGCCCTACAATTCTATCAATGTTGTCTGACTGGGAAAATAAGTACCGAAAATCGTCACTGCCTCCTAGACTATTATGTGATATGCACTGACTAAAGAAATCACAATGTGGGGTATTTGTATGAAGTACTAGGTCCAAATGAAAACAACACAACATGAAAATTATGGTTGAGATAATTAATGTGAGATATTTTAAAAGTACATATCCAAATCAGAATAGCTATTTACCTAACAAGTGCGGAAAAACTTTTTCCGCACTGATATGCGTGCGGTAAAAGTTTTACCGCACCGTGCGGGAAAACTCATTTTCCGCACGCATATCAGTGCGGAAAATCGATTTTTCCGCACGGCTGTAGGAAAAATTTATTTTTATATACTTTGTTTTAACCACACTATATTTGATGTAGATATTATAATTATATTTATCCTACTTTTAGTATTGCAATGACGACAAGTGGTACATATATCTGCAAATTCAGCATTTATTTTAGGCGATCGATTCCAATAATAAATTAAATTCAAACTATATAGTTTCTCCTACTTCACATTGTACCTGAATCACCATTGGCCTAGAGAGTCGTGAGACTGCGTTCTGACAATTACATTTAGCCTTTTTGTAGCAGGTGCTCTGTCTGGTTACATTCGGTTCTTCCTTAAATCTGCAGCAGGTTCTTTGTGTGGTTACAGGTCTTCAGCATAATCCTCGTAGCAAGCGCTTTGCCTGGCTGAGGTCTTCTTTCCAACTTCCAGGTGCTCTAGTCTGGTTGTAAGGAAGCTTTCTCATGCCCTGGCCCAAGTCTTGTTTGGTACTTGTCCTTCTGCTCTTCTATCCTGAACAATCAGGATTAAGTAGAATACCCTACAGAGAAAGAGTATCCTAAAACGTACACTGTACACTTATACTTTCTCATCTTTGAGAGATGCACATCGCAGACTTGAAAAGTTAAAAACCTATTCTAAGCAAAAATCCATCAACTTACTCCCAAAGTAATTTAAAAATCATAAATTATTAATAGAAAAAAAGAAGGATCAAGAATATAAGGAATATTCAAATTTCAAGTCCCCCTTGCAAAGCAAATACTAAATCCAAATTTAAATCCTAATGTTAAATCTGATATCCCGAGAAAAAAATCACTCCACCCCCAAAGTTTAAGGTATTTGTCTCGTATTACTTCGACTTGTCCCAAATGTTCCAGCTTTTTTAAAGAGCAGCTTTTAATTTTAATCTTCTGAATGCAGAGCAGAATAGCGAGTTAGTCATTTATAACCTTTAATGGAACTGCCTAAGAACGAATACACTTTAGAAAAAGTTTATTAACTGTATGTTTCCTTATGGTTTGATGTTTTATTTGCCTCTGGTAAATAAATCCTGTCTCCCATTTTTGTTGCTTTCGCTTTCAGAAAAATAATTATCCGTTTTCTCCGGGGCGAATATGCCTTTTTTCATTCGCATTGTTAGTCTGCTTTTAAGGGGAAAAGAAAAGCGTAGCAGGATTTATTTAGAAAATTTACTTTTGAAAAAAGTAAATTCTTATTCAAAATTCTCGTTTACAACAGCTTGCGCAACCTGTATGATCTGTTTGATTACTGGATAGATGTCCATGAGAGACTTGCTCATGGACGGAGCCAAAGTCTCGGAAAATCTTTTCTGGAATAAAATACATAATTAATGGTACTCACAAAGTAGATTGAATTTTCTTTACAAATTTTCTCACGGATCTCCTCCATCTTATCCGCGACCTGAAATCAGATTGGGAGTAAATAAACCCAACAAGCAGCAGACCACATACAGTTAAAAGGACTCCAAAACCTATTGTTTTGAAAAGATACGGGTATTCCTCATACAAATTATTTGTAGCCGAATTCAACAGCTGAGTTAAAGGACTTTGTGGACGTGGTCGAACAACAACTAATGGACGCTGTTCAATTATTGTGACTAGTGATGTTTGGGAATCCATAGTGTCCGGCAAATGAATTTGCGATATTTCTTCTATTTGTTGGTTTTCAAATATCTCTTGCTCAGAGTTAGTTGCTGAAAGCTGTTCATTTTCCATTTTTTTTTTTTTTTAATTTCGTGAATTATGATGACGATTATTTACATGTTAAATTTTGATTGAAGATTTGACATTGACAGTTTCCACCTATTTAGTTCTCTGGCTAGCATGGTATACACTACAGTGACTTTATACAGAGACAGTGGCGATAATAGGTCGAGGCATGTTCATATGCATTGTGTCGGTTTGGATTGCGTCTCTTAGCTTCTGGAGCGCTGCGAAATAAATTTGGATCTTGCTGGCCTGGCTTCTGGATGTCTATTCTCGAAACCGGGAATAGGCGTTCTCATGAGAACGATTGATCTCAGTATTATGAACAGGGACGGACTAGGTTTTGAACTTACGGCGGGCGATTTCCTACATGGGGTGCCATCACCAAGAAAAAGTTGAAGTAGGTATAGGGTCACTTGAGCCTGGGAACTTTTCCGATAACGTGGGGAAATCGGCAGATTTTGCTGATTTTGTACTGGTTTTACGCTGGTTTAGCTGGTTTTGTGCTAGTTTTCACTGGTTTTGTGCTGATTTTCACTGCTTTTTACTGGTTTGTGTGCTCTGCTGGTATTGTAAAATTCAGCACAAAACCTGCTATACTAGCAAACAACAATGAAAACCAGCACAATCCAGGAAAAAAGCAGCTAAACCAGCCTGAATGCAGCAAAATTCGCCGATTTTCCCACGGGATCAAACAAGTTCCCAGGCTCAAGTGATTCTTTACCTACCAGTTGAAAGTTAGGCTAATCATATATTATCGACAAGAATTAATTACCACACCGTTATTAGTTTCCCAAGAAAAAATCAGCATTTTATTGAGGTTTTCTCTGGTCTTAGCTACATTATTGATAATTTCTTTATTGTCTAACGACATGGGTAATTTTTTTTCCATAGACATTTCATAAACACTTCCAGGTTGTTGTGATTTAGGTTACTTCGTTAATGATTCGAATATACTTCAGCTTCTTAAGCTTCAATCACAACTAATTTGCGCTTGCGCAACTGATAGTCGAAAAATATTTGTAAGCTTTCGAAAGTATTGGATAAGCATATGCGTGAAGGTTGACACGGTGTACGTGAATCAGGTACCCTTGGACGCTGCGCGCTCCTCACTTGGACGATACTTGGATGGTAGCAACTGTTCATCCAAGTAAGTAAGCGTGCTTCCAACTTTACTTGATCCAAGTTCTCATCTAAGTGCAGTTCGACCAAGCACTTGGATCATGTCAAACTGGTTCTAAGATTGAATATGCCTGTAACTGCAATAAATACAGTTTTTGCAAGACTTGCAAACTGTTGCACTGGCAATCGATTCTAATCTTCATTAGAACGAATACACGTGGAAAGCGCAAGACACAGGTGCTGTTCGGGCGGGTAGCTCTCGGCATAAGAATAGCGTGACGATTGGAATACAAACCTAACCTAATTTACAGAGACGCCCTCTATCAGGCGCGGTAAAAGTCTCAGAATTTAATATAAAATTTATAATGGAAATTCTAAATTCTTATTAATATGAGGGTACTAAATTGATAAGTAATTGATATTTGAATTTATTAAAAAATATTTTTAAACCTTATTTTAATAATATTTAAATTTTATAACTAAACGATGCCGATGGGGCGCTGAATCTTGAGGGCGCGGCGGGCTCCGCCCGCCAGTCCGTCACTTGTTATGAAAATATGAATATGGGCGACAGAGACAGTACCTTCGCTCTCAGGAGAAAGCTGCTCCCTTGTTTCGAGAATAAGGACCCTGGGGTGCTATAAGTCGCTTTTGAAAAATTCCTCTGGCTTCTGATGTGAAGATTGTGGAGTGGATTTGGAATCTACTATACCATGCATAGAAATGGTGACCTTCTATGCAAGACTATCTTGTCTGGATCGAAAAATAAATGAATTTCTATGATATGCTGCCACCGATGAGGCAGTGGACTCTAAAACTAATTTCGACCTGTTGTTATTTTGCAAGAAATATAGAACTCGACGGTCTTTCATGAAATGGGCATGGATTCACAGTACACCGTGACGGGATCGAGTCGGACACGTTCTTCAGAGTGGATACCGAGCCCCGTCCGAGCGTTCTGTATATGTTAGGGATGATTCACGTTATACCGTGGCGGGCCCGAGCAGTACACGTTCTGCGGAGTGGACTCCGAGCCCTGTCCGAGCGTTCTGTATATGTTACACTGCATTGTTAAGGATGATTCACGCTAAACCGTTACGGGCCCGTATCTGGCACGTTCCGCGGTGTGGACACCGAGCCCCGTCCGAGCGTTCTGTATATGTTACACCGCGTTGTCAACGAGGATCGCGTTCGTGCCGAGTATACTACAACACGGTCCCTCCCAGTCGAGTATTCAACATACGAGAACAATTCACTGCTCGTGCCCGGAAGAGTATTCATGCTTGTCTTAACGTACCAGGAACGCGGCGGATCCAAGGAAACAATGTACCAGAGCATTTCTGTGACGGGGAACGGACGTGCCCGGCGGAGGCTCGGTTCGTGCTCGATCTAGCATGAATGCATATGTGCAAAGTTACTTGACAATGTTTGCCCGTGGCTCCACCAAGGCACGGCTCGGGCCCGTCACGGTGTACCATAAATCATCCTTTAACGAGGATCGCGTCCGTGCCGAATATACTACAACACGGTCCCACCCAGTCAACATACAAGAACTACTCACCACATATGGCTGCGAAACATGGACCACCTATAGAAGTCACATAAAAACCTAGAAAAATACCACCATCGATGCCTAAGGAGAATCCTACCAATTAAATGGAGAGACCGATAAACGAACATTATTATTTTAAAGAAGACCAGAACAACTCGCATGGAAGCCCTCATCATTAGGCACCAACTTCGCCGGACAGGTCATCTCGTCCGCATGCCCGAAACACGTCTTCCACGACAGATTCTCTACAGTCAACTGAAAGAGGGAAAACGAAATCAAGGAAGTCAACAAAAATGTTCTTGACGAAAATATGGCAAAGTGCCGCATCGATACCAGCAACTGGAAGACGACGGCAAATGATGTAGTCCACGACGGACCAAAAACTTTTGAAGAACAGCGACACAGCACGAGACCAAAAAGAAGGACCGCAGGAAAAAGCGACAGAACAGAGGAAGAGGCCAGAGGCTCAGTGTGCAGTGTGCCAAGACTGTGGAAGAGTGTGCTGCTCCAGAATTAGTTTATATAGCCATCAGAAAAGGCACAATCGCACCTCTGATGATGATACTTAAAAGACCGATGCAACCACGGCATCGGCATCCGTTAGGATCGATCTCAGGAATACAAGAGCCGCTCATCACTATTCCCGAAAGGAGGGAGCATAGTTTGTATGAGAACAAGTCCTGTCCTTCTCAGTTCCATACAAAATCTCATATGAGTGACAATAACATGAGAACGCAGATCGCTTGTTTCGAGAATCAGGCGCCAGAAGTCGATTACCCCGGAGAGCTGAGGCCGTTACGAACTCCTCAGAAAGACCAGAGCTCAAGGAGCTTAGCGGTTTTACTCTCGCGGATCATTATGGCCCTTATAAAAGCCCACTGTCAAGCCTTACGCCCGACGAACCATGTTGTACTTTTTAGTCTCTGTTTGGTAAGCCCCTGTAACGGAACATTTATAGTCTTATGTGCGATAACTGTTCATACGTGGTGTGTTTTCCTGGGAGAACCGCTATCCCCCTAGCAACGTGTCCCTAGGCACAATACCTATGTGACAATATACTTCAGAGAAATAAGAAACGCAGATCACTATTTGAAACAGTCGAGGAAAACAAAAGTATGGTAATACGCAAGAAACTTGTCAATGGAAAGAAATAAATTTCCATACAAAGACGAAACTGGACTTACAACAAATAATACAAAAGATTGTGTAAAGTTTTCATGAAGCTCACATAAATCAAAGCTACTCAGACATGAGTTAAGAAGAGTGATGCATCAGGGTTTAGAGGATATTAATGACATCTCTGCAAAGGAAATTTACAATACGCTTAAAAAGATGAAATTTTACAAAGCTCCTGGTGAAGATGGCTAAGCAAGATATTAATCAAAAATATTCACAAACTTTCGTATGTGTCCACCATCAAACCTTTCCAGATGATTAGAACGACTCAAGCATAATCTTTTAACACGGTAAAGGGGATGAAGCAGACTCGAAAATAAGCTAACGTAGGCAGTGCCGTATTTCCCTATACGCACATTACGCAAAGGCGTATGGCGGCAAATCTGTGGAGGCGGCAAAATTTAAAAAAAAAAAAAATCAGAAAAAGACAAAAAAGAATCGGGCAAAGGAGGCCGAAGATCCAACGCGAAGCGCGGTTCTGTTTCGCGTTGGACCTCTATTTGATTTTTGATAAATTCGAACAATATTATAAAAAATACAAAAAATAACAAAGCACAAAGAATAGATACCTACCATAAAAATCATAAAGCCTGTAAACGCCAGTTTTAAGAATAAAAAGTGCATATGAAAACAATGAATCGAACAAAAAAATACACACAGATCAAAATAATGTATACCAAATGTAGGTAATAAAATGTAGGTAGTACAAAAAAAAAATGAAAAAATGCTCAAAATAAACGTTTTTGGGCGTGGCACCCAAAATGATTTTCGTTTAATCCTAGTCCTGCATCTTCTTGGCCCCCCAGTTTTTTGAGGCACAGGCATTCTCTTCCAAGCCTCTGACTCTAATTTCCTCGTCTACTCCCCTTCTTCAGCTTCTTGTTGGTCTGCCCAGTCTTCTTCTTTCCCCCTACTTCCAGTCGATAATTTGCTTGTCATGCCATTCTTTGTACATGTTTGAACCAAATCAGTTGTTTGTCATTTGTATCATATACTATTGGGTGTCTTCCGTCCATAATTTTCCTCATTCTCAAATTTGTTATCCTTTCTAGTTTTGAAGCAGTTCAAAACTAGAAAGGATAACAAATTTGCTGCTCCCATAGTCGATTTCAGTTGCTTCCAGAATTTTTGCGGTTATGTTCTTAGTGGCGAGACCTCTGAACTTATGAGACTTTGCTTCTGACTATGATGTTGTATATGCTTGTCTGGACACGCTGCTAGATTAGCTAATGGAGACCACGAACCGCGAAGCGAAGTAGAAGCCGGCCACCTACCCGGTTGGGCGATGACCGAGAAAGGTTCAAGAGGAACTGGATTGCGACTATCCCGAAAAGGGAGACCTGGGAACGACATGAGGAAGCCTATGTCCAGCAGTGGAGCCAGGAAATTGTGTAATGATGATGATGTGTGTATGCTATTGAAAACGGGGTCGAGGTGTTTTCAATCTTTGATGAAACTGAGATCCCAAAAAAA